ACGTATCACCTAATTCGTCTAAGTGACGAATTAAAGTCTAGTTATTCTTCTTCTTCTTCCTATTATTCTTCCTCGATTTTGTTCGCAGGATATCTCAAGACTGAATAAAGCCATTGTCATGAAACTTTCAATGATGATAGATCTTAGTTTAACTTAGAACTGCGTGACTTTTCAAAGACTCAAAATCATCGTGACGTCATCCAGGCGCCATTTTGTGAAAATCAACTTATGATCATATATTCATAACGGAAAGTAATTTTTCATTCATATTTATCATGAATAAGATCAAAATCCGTCCGGTTAATTTGAGGTCAATAAACGTGCACAAATTTCGCGTGCGCGTTCGTCCTCGGGTTTACGCGCGCGAAATTTTTTAAAATGCTCAAAATCATCCCCAATTTTTTTTACATACGTTTCAGGCCATATGGAGCATTTGATAAAAAAATTACGCACACGCGCATGCGCGCGCGTTTTCGCGCGTACTGGCATTTTGCAACATAGAATCGCCGATTTTTTTCTGTCATCATATTTGGTACATTTTTCCAAGCATTTTGATAATTTGTTCACCTTTTATTAACGCAATGAGCGTCCGTCAAAGTTGACAGCACGCGCGGATTTGCGTTATCTTTATCCACAATACATGGGCAAAAACATGCCTATATAAAATTCATTGTAACTCTTTAGAATAGATAGAAACTCCTAATATTTTGTCATATTTGGATAGATTATGAGTCGGAGATATGATTTCATGTCTCATTTGATCCTCAATTAACTCATGACGTCATCATAATGGCCTCCAAACTCAAAATTTTAATTTGCATATTATGACGTCAGCATATTTTTGGAAAATTGGTTGTATCTCTGTAAATATGGATCAATTTTCTTTTTAATTTTGATATGTTCTAGCTGAGACAATTTTCTACAAATGTAATGTTCACAATTTTTATTTTTGACAAAAGTATCATGGTGTATTTTTGCGATTTAAGGAGGCATGTCAATTTTTCGCATTTTGCGTGTATTCTCTATGGGACATGACTTTTTCTCAAAACTGGATTCTACACTCCTGTCTTTCGCGAGCAAAATCTCCGTTGTTTTAGCTTCGTTTTCGCTGAGCTTTGGATATGTTGTAGCTGAGACAATGAGCTATCAAAAGTGTTTTCTTTATTTTTCGATTAGATGCCGGGATCATGCTCATATTTCGCTTGCAATGTAGGATTTCTGAATTCCATTTCCTGTTTACGTGTAATCGCTATGGGAGATGTTTTGGTATATCGGTAACGCACTTTACTTCCAACCTCGAGATCCCTGGTTCGAGTCCGGGTGTCTCCAACACTTTTTTTTTCACTTTTTTTCATTTTGACCTTCACTGTACCATCTCCTCTGATTATTTAAACACGTAGATTCGCAAATAATGTCATAAATAACCCTTTTGACTTTATTATTACCCTATTTTCACTTAATCCATTACTTTTTGCGTGTAATCCCTATGGGAAATGACTTTTTCTCAAATCTGGAGTCTACATTCCTGTCTTTTGCGAGCAATATCGCCGTTATTTCGGCTTGAATTTTGTTGATTTTTGAGTATGTTGTAGCTGAGACTATATGCTATCTAAATCAACCCTCATTTTTTCAATAAGATGTCATGATCGCGCTCATGATCATGATCATGATCATCACGATCATCATTATCATAATTTTGCTAATCATTTATCAATTACATTTTCATTTCTTTGAATAAGATAAAATCGTCAAAAGGTGTTCTTCATGATGTAAATTAGAGTCAAATGTGTAACTGGTTACTGCACAGGGTCAAAGGTCATATATTGTTTCAATCTATCTTCCCTAGATCCATGATGATCAAGGAGACACAATTTAATCTTGACATATGAATAGATCATAATGGGAGAAGCATATGAATGGGAGAAGCAAAATAATATATCGTGTAATGCATTATTCGTTATGTAAACCATTATCATACGTATCACCTAATTCGTCTAAGTGACGAATTAAAGTCTAGTTTTTATTATTATTCTTCCTCGAATTTGTTCGCAAGATATCTCAAGAATGAATAAAGCTATTATCATGAAACTTGTAATGATGATAGATATTAGTCTAACTTAGAACTGCGTGACTTTTCAGAGACTCAAAATCCTCGTGACGTCATCCAGGCGCCATTTTGTGAAAATCAACTTATGATCATATCTTCATAACGGAATGTAATTTTTCATTCATATTTACCATGATTAAGATCAATATCCGTCCGGTCAATCTCAGGTCAAAAAATGCGCGTACGCTTTTGTCCGCGCGTTTACGCGCGCTAAATTTTTAAAAATGCTCCAAATCATCCCAAATTTTTTTTACATATGTTTCAGGCCATATGGAGCATTTAATAAAAAAATTACGCACACGCGCATGCGCGTGCGTTTTCGCGCGTACTGGCATTTTGCAACATAGAATCGCCGATTTTTTTCTGTCATCATATTTGGTACATTTTTCCAAGCATTTTGATAACTTGTTTACCTTTTAATAACGCAATGAGCGTCCGTCAAAGTTGACAGCACGCGCGGATTTGCGTTATCTTTATCCACAATACATGGGCAAAAACATGCCTATATAAAATTCATTGTAACTCTTCAGAATAGATAGAAACTCCTAATATTTTTTCATATTTGGATAGATTATGAGTTGGAAATATGATTTATGTCTCATTTGATCCTCAATTAACTCATGACGTCATCATAATGGCCTCCAAACTCAAAATTTCAATTTGCATATTATGACGTAATTATATTCATGGAAAATTTAGTGTAGCGAAATCTCTGTTGTTTTAGCTTAGTTTTCGCTGAGCTTCGAATATCTTGTAGCTGAGACCATAAGCTATCCCAATTTTGCTTTTTATTCTTCGATCAGATGCCGGGATTATGCTCATATTGCACTTCCAAAGTAGGATTTGAGCATTCGATTTCCCGTTTACGTGTAATTTCTATGGGAAATGTTTTGGTATATCGGTAACGCACTTGACTTCCAACCTCGAGATCCCTGGTTCGAGTCCGGGTGTCTCCAACAATTTTTTTTCTTCACTTTTTTTTTCTTTTTGTCCTTTCACTGTACCATCTCCTTTAATTATTAAGACATGTAGATTCGCAAATAATGTATAAAACAACCCCATTTACTTTATTAATACCCTATTTTCACTTAATCTATTACTTTTTGCGTGCAATCCCTATGGTAGATGACTTTTTCTCAAATCTGGATTCTACATTCTTGTCTTTTGAGCAATATCGCCTGTATTTCTGCTTGGATTTTGTTGATTTTTTAGTATGTTGGGACAAGTTTCCACAAGATTTATGTAGACTATCTAACATTATCATGACGTTATCATAGTCAAAAATTCAATCATAGGTAACATGTCAATTATCATAATTATATAACAATCCTCAATCGAATACCTGAAGGGGGCGCTATACCACTTTTAATCATGGTCATCTGGATGGCATTGTTCTCAATTGCATTTCTCTCTTGCTCTTTTTTCTTTCTCCTCTCATGTTCTGCCCCTCTCCTTTTTTGTTCTGTCTCTGCATCTATCTATCTCTCTTCTCTTTCACCCTCTCCTTCTCTCTCTCTCTCTCTTGCCTTGCCTCCCTCTTATTCTCTTGGTCTGTCTTCCTCTGTCCTACAGTTGAAACTTCACTCATGGATAGACCATAATGGGAATAGTGAACGAAAGATGAAATCGTGAAAATGCGTTCTTCATTATGTTACACATGAGCATACGTATCACCTAATTCGTCAAAGTGACGAATTAAAGTCTAGTTAATTATTATTATTCTTCCTCAATTTTGTTCGCAGGGTATCTCAAGAATGGCTTAAGCTATTATCATGAAACTTGCCATGATGATAGATCTTAGTCTAACTTAGAACTGCGTGACTTTTCATAGACTCAACGTCATCGTGACGTCATCCAGGCGCCATTTTGTGAAAATCAACTTATGATCATATCGTCATAACGGAAAGTTATTTCTCATTCATAATTATCATGATTAAGATCAATATCCGTCCGGTCAATTTTGGGTCAAAAAAGGTGCGCAAATACGCGCATACACGCGTTCGTCCGCGCGTTTACGTGCGCGCAAAAATTTAAAATGCTCCAAATCATTCCAAATATTGTTTGCATACTTTTTAGGCCATTTGGAGCATACGCGCATTTTGCAACGTAGAATCGCCGAATTTTCTCTGTTTTCATATTTGGCACATTTTTCAAAGCATTTTGATAACTTGTTCACCTTTTAATAACACAATGAGCGTCCGTCAAAGTTGACAGCGCGCGCGGGCCTGCGTTATCTTTACCCACAATACATGGGCAAAAACATGCCAATACAAAATTCATTGTAACTCTTCAGAATAGATAGAAACTCCCTATATTCTTTCATATTTGTATCGATTATGAGTTGGAGATATGATTTAATGTCTCATTTGACCCTTAAATAACTTATGACGTCATCATAATGGCCTCCAAACTCAAAATTTAAATTTGCATATTATGACGTCAGCATATTTTTGGAAAATTGATTGTATCTCTAGAGATATTTATTGTTTTTCTACAACATTTTAATATGTTCTAGCTGAGACAATTTTCTACAAACGCAGTTTTCACAATTGTTCATTTAGACAAAGGCATCATGGCGTATTTTTGCGATTAAAGGAGGCATGTAAATTTTTTCACATTTTGCGTGTATTCTCTATGGGACATGACTTTTTCTCAAAACTGGATTCTACATTCCTGTCTTTCGTGAGCAATATCTCCTTTGTTTAACGGGTATGTTGTAGCTGAGACAATCAGCTATCACTAATGTGTCTTTTATTTTTCAATCAGATGCCGGGATCATGCTCATATTTCACTTGCAAAGTAGGATTTGAGAATTCCATTTCCCGTTTACGTGTAATCGCCATGGGAAATGTTTTGGTATATCGGTAATGCACTTGACTTCCAAGCTCGAGATCCCTGGTTCGAGTCCGGGTGTCTCCAACAATTGTTTTTCTTCATTTTGTCACGCTTTTAATAACTTACAGCCAACTTGAATGACCCTGGCCCTCTGGGACTTGAGAGTTATGTCATCCCAGGTTCAAGTCTGACAGCTTCCAGTGAGTATAATGCTGACCATGGTGCAAAGAGAGGTCGTCTTAACCTGGCCCGAGTCGGTAACCTGCGTGGAGCCTGGTCTGCACTAACAAACAATGCCAACCAGTGGATCCAGGTACGAAAGGTTTTTTTTAGGCCAATTCAGACACGAAACATTTAGACAACCCTTATTTCTATGGCATCGGTTCGTGTCCCACTGCTGCCACCGTATCAGTAATGAAAAGGGTCGACAGTCAATTTTGATGCCATAGTTTAATTTGTATCCATACACTGCCATAATTCTGTAATAAGAGTCACCAGTCAGTTCTATACCATGGATTCATATCCCACCGCTGCCACCATGTCAGTAATGAAAAAGTCACCAGTCATTTCTATACCATGTATTCATATCCCACCGCTACCACCAGGTCATTAATGAAAGAGTCACCAGTCAGTTCTATACCATGGATTCATATCCCACCGCTGCCACCATGTCAGTAATGAAAAAGTCACTGACACCGTACAAATTTGTTTTCTTCCCGCCAATTTTTGAGGTGACTTATGAGTTCGTAGATTTATTTCTCCTCTCTTTAGGTAAAGCTACTATAAGATTGCCATAGTTACATTATTGATGAGCTGAACTGAATGAAAGCAAGGTAAATTCATTGATAGGTGCATGATCATTGGTTAAAAGTTTTCTCATGGAGATAGACAAATTAGATGAATATGAGGATAAACATCAAGAATTCTTCGTCCCATTCTTTTCTTTCTACAAGGTGGATCTTTTGGACCTTTACCGTGTCATTTCAGTTGCGACTCAAGGGCGAGAAGATTTAAGCCAGTGGGTTACAAGCTACAAGCTTGCTTGTAGTACTGATGGCACGATCCTTCACACCGTGCAGGGAATTTCTACAAATCCTGGAGCTGACAGGGTAAGTTTGTTCTCTAATTATTCATTAGTTAATTTTATCTGGACTCTATTCTTGAAGAATTTTGAAGGCATTTGATTTCTCATTGAAAACTATTTGAATATTTTGATATTAGGATAATTTCTTTCAACAATAAATGCAATCGTTACCTCAAGAACAGACACACATTTTTGGTTTACTATTAACTATTCCGCATACACAGAGTATAAGAGGAGAAAATTATTAGGTAGGATTGAAGAACTGTTTATATGTGTTAATATATTACAGCAAGAAATGCACTTCAAGTTAAAAATGTTCAATCCATTTCATTTTGTTCTATTTTATTACTAGGTCTCTTAATTTTGAAATTGTTGTCATTAGAAAATAAATTTAAATAGAAACAAATGTATAGGCACTGTAGATGCAAACATATTTTTTAATTCAGCATGCTAAATCAGATTCTCTTTGGTTTGATTGCAATTAACTGGAGAATCATTTGAGTCATAATTATTCAAAAATGGATTGATTTTCCTGTTTCTTTGAAGATCTTCACCGGTAATGTTGACCGCAACACCATCGTGACCAACACTCTTCCTGTGCCCCAGATTTGCCGTTATGTTCGCTTGATGCCTGTCAGCTGGTTAGGCCACATCAGTCTTCGAATGGAGATCTACGGTGAAGGCCCTCTCACAGGTAAGTTTTAAAACTAGTGACGCTCCAACATTGTTTGCTCCATCTTCAATTTCTCCGGCGGCAATTGCTCTGGGATATATTTCACCAATGATAGAGGCTTAGTGTTATGCTTATGATTTGGTTTTAGGTTAGGTTAAAAGTTAGGGTTAGGAATAGTCCTTGTTCAAGGACTGAAGTTAAGATTTCAGTTAGTTTATGATATATGGCATTGAGTGTTGAGGATTGTTGTATCTTAGAATTCGTGTTGTAGAAGGCAATTGACGCAAGGCCGGGCTCCACATTATTCTTTTTAGAGAGGGTTGAGATTGAACTTTTGAGGATCTCTTAGCATGTACCCCAGTCCTCCGGGGTAAATTTCTAAATTGTAGTTGTCCACAGTTGAAGTCTTTCCGAACAGCTTTTGATTACCCCTTTTCGAAGGAGTACATCTACCTGTAGAACATAGAATGTTTTGCTTGTGTATTAATCAGCAAACATCACGTAGTTGTCTCGGTGAGGGCCTTAAAATTACCTTAAAATGACCTTTTGTCTGCTCATACCCAGATTTGCATGTTCATCTGATTGGACCACTCATTCATATTTGCATATTTGACCACCACTACCTAAATTGTGCTATAAATTGTCACGCTTTTAATAACTTACAGCCAACTTAAATGACCCTGACCCTCTGGGACTTGAGAGTTATGTCATCCCAGATTCACTGTACCATCTCCTTTGATTATTAAAACACCTAGATTTGCAAATAATATAATAAACAACCGTATTTACCTTATTATTGCCCTTTTTTCCACTTAATCCATTACTTTTTGCGTGTAATCCCTATGGGAGATGACTTTTTTTCAAATCTGGATTCTACATATCTGTCTTTTGCGAGCAATATCGCCGTTATTTCTGCTTGGATTTAGTTGATTTTTGAGTATGTTGTAGTTGAGACTATATGCTATCTAAATTATTCCTCAATTTTTCAATTAGAAATCAGGATCGCGCTCATGATCATGATCATTATCATCATGATCATCATTATCATAATAATGATAATCATTTATCAATTACATTTTCATTTCTTTGAATAAGATAAAATCGTCAAAATGTGTTCTTCATGATGTAAATTAGAGTCAAAGGTGTAACTGGTTACTGTACAGGGTCAACGGTTATATATTGTTTCAATCTATCTTCCCTAGATCCATGATTATCAAGGGGACACAATTTAAACTTGACATATAGATAGATCATAATGGGAGAAGCATGTTACAAAATAATATATCGTGTAATACATTATTTGTTATGTAAACTATTATCATACGTATCACCTAATTCGTCAAAGTGACGAATTAAAGTCTAGTTTAACTTGTTGTTATCATCGTTAGATTTAAGTTAGAATAAGAGAATTACTAAAACACCTACTAATTCGAACTTGTTTTGGATTGGGTTTTACTCCCCGTGATGCCATCCACGCATGGACTGCATCCTGGCCTCCGCATCCGTGTTCAAATGTAGACGTCACGGCTAAATATCTTTTTGGTGCGCCATAAAATTGTTTGCTATCTTAATTATAAACTATTTTGAAGAATAATTCGTCCCACACTTGATAAACAAAACTTGTTATAATATGCAATATACATCGAATTAAAAATAATTAAAATATGTAAAAAGATAAAAAGCAATCCAGAGTGCAGGGAAACTAAAAATAATAGACTTCTGTAATACATAATTTGTTTTAATCAATCAAAGACAAATGAATAAAACATGTTAAAATATAAAAGCTTTTTCGAGGGAAATGGGTGGACCAAATTGAATAAACTCTTGTTTTTTCTTCTTCTTGAGACACACCTGCATGCCAGGAAGATCCTACAGGAGTGAATTACAGAGGAAACTTATCTCAGACAATCAACAATCATACTTGTCAAGAATGGACCTCTCAGGATCCTCAACAACACGATAGGACTCCAGCTAACTATCCTAACGCAGGACTAGACGACAACTATTGCAGAAACCCGGATGATTATGAGACTGCTTGGTGTTACACCACCGATCCTGGGAAAAGATGGGAGGTTTGTGCTGTAGGTTTCCTTGACCCTAGATGCCAAGGTAACAATGCATTTTGGTGTTTCATCGGGTATATACGTCGGGTCGAACTGTCGTGAACAATCAAGCCCTTATTCCTCATGTAGCACTTGTGAAATGCACCTCTCATATCACCAAAGCGTAATGTCAAGTTCACCTGACACATTCTGAAAAACCTACAGCAAATCTACAAACACTCTAATAAATAATCCACCTAAGAGCATGTTTTCACAAATGTGTAATAGTATTAGCCGTTTTTCTAGAGCCGTGCTTCAATATATGTGATTATTTCCATTTGAGTTACCCGACCATTCGTGGATATAGGGGCATGTTTTCGCAAAAGTTCGTGTAACGCGACAACCCGATCCGACGCGAAGGCACGGCGGGTCTTATTAAGCCTTAAGAATGTAAGGGGATCACTGATCAGTTAACATCAAGATACATGCATTCATAACTGTACAAAGATGTATTAACAATTAAAAGAAGAAAAAGAAAGAATACATTTGTATTTATATGGGCATACATTTCACAACTAAAGAAGTTAAAACATCACATTGTTACAATATCTTTTATTCTCCACTCAAATTAGTCTATTGTCGATTCAAAACACCTGCCGATGGGAACATGTCCGAAATTTCTCTAGAAAGTGATAAAAATCCTCAATTAAAAAAGAAATTCTCTGACAAGCAAAACAGGCTACAAGTGCTGCCAATAGGCAAATCTCAGGGCACATTTCTTTTTTCGCACATGCACCCATGACCATCTTTACCCCTCCCCCCCCCCCCCACCACCACCTCTCCTCCGGATGCTCTTCTCCTAAACCAATAATAAACTAATGAAGGAGCGTTAGCTCAGTCGGTTTCGAAACCAAGTCGATGCGCTCGTGCCCTTTGGTAAGGCATTAATCCTCTTTTACCCGGTCCCTCGGAGAAGAACTAAAGCCCTCGGCCCTCTGGTTGATTACTAACAAGCATTCAATTTATGCTTTCTTAGCAGTCAGGTAAAATAACCACCACTACCCTTAATAACGATTCTGGATTCCTTATTTTATGATATTTCCCTTAAATGTAGCTTATATCAAAGAGCTGAATTATTGCAATTTCATTTTTTTTTTTACTTGCAACTATAATAGTATATCAAATTCCGAGCCGTTGTCAAGTTATCCATACGAGAAAGCTTTAAAGAATATGCTCCGAGGTATTTTTACTCTGGGTTCTTCCTACCTGTTAATATTGTTGTTAGTGTTGTTGTTGATGTTGTACTTGTTGTTGTTAATGTTGTAGTTGACCTTCTTGTGGTTGTTATTGTTCATCATTATTATATACATTTCGTTGTTTATACAATTTCTACTCATCTTCTTCATCCACATTTCCGTTCTTCCCAGTTCTCAGTCATTTTTTTGTAATCTTTGTTTCCAATAGTCCCCACTCTTATTCCTACAGCAACGACCGAACCCACGACTAGCCCAACGACACCGACACCTGTACAGTCGGAAACTGTGACATCTCAAACCACTGTTGGTAAATATCGAGTTGTTTTGTTCTTGTTTAGATGATAATCATGCTCTCATTTTCACGGTTATTTGTTTGTCGGTTACACCGTGTTGCGAAGACGTCATGAATTTGATTGGTATGTATTACCTCAAAGACTAGATAAATGAAAATACAAAATTGTTATAGTTACTACCAAGGAAATGGATTAGGCCTATCCTTTAAAAAAGAAAAAGATAGCAAACTAAGAGACAAAAACAACAAAGAATAACAGCAGTTAAAGCATATACATATACAAGTTATACTCATTCATGTATACATGTACGTAGATGAGAACAAATACTATGATGGGTATGATTAAATTTAGAGTAGAGGAGCCAGCTGAGACCAAAGTCTTGCCAATTGATACTCCTTGTTTATGGATGAAGTATCCATCCGAACCAATAGAAGGGGAATAAAGAAAGAAGATACATTATGAATATAATTACCAGTAGGATAATTGATAAGTAAGGTAGTTGGTAGGTGGCCTAGACTTTTCATGATATAGATAGCACTCGAAGACACCATTTTATAAGAGCGGTATCAGAGTCAGGAAGTTGTAATATAACAAGAATTAATTTCTTATTTTGCTTTGAAAGAGAGCAATTCGCAAGATTAATAACTCAAATTAGTTATCACATATGCACGGAACCTTAATTTCATCTTTTAACAAACATTAAAACTAAAAGATATTCACATTTGACAGATAGGCATTTTTTACGTATAAACCCCCCGGAAAACTACCCCCCAAGGACAATTACCCCCTGGAAATTTACCCCCCAGAGAATTACCCCCGAGGACAATTACCCCCCAAGGACAATTACCCCCCGGAAAATTACCCCCCGGAGAGTTACCCCCCGAGGACAATTACCCCCCAAGGACAATTACCCCCCGGAAAATTACCCCCCGGAGAATCACCCCCCGAGGACAACTACCCCCGAGGACAATTACCCCCCCCCCGAGGACAATTACCCCCGAGGACAACTACCCCCGAGGACAATTACCACCCGAGGACAACTACCCCCCCGAGGACAATTACCCCCCCCCCCCTCGAAACACCATTACCGCGGCCCGAGGACAATCACACCCAGGGTATTTGTAACACTGTGACGTATAATGCGAGCTCCTCTTCAAATTGCTATTTAGAGAAAATGTCATGAACTTTCATTTTCTTAGTTATTTATGACGGAATAGATTTGTTTCGTACAGGGGTTGTGTATAAATTATATTTATATTCGTAGCTCACATTCAAAGCCCTCGTACCCATCTGCCAAATCTTTTTGCTTGACGTACATGTATCCTCCTAGGAGGAGATTTCACCCACCCCTCTCGCTCTGTATCCATTACACCTTTGTGAAGTTTTACTTAATATGCCACGTGTATTGAATCAAATTCAATTGCCAGAAGACGCATGTATCAAATCAAAGTACGGAATTTACATTTCTTAGAAATTTAACAATACATTGCGCGCAGATGAGTACGCGTTAATACAGCTAGTCTCCCCAAAAATGGCCCAACAAATAAATTAGGATGTAAGATATCATTATTTATGCATCCTCTGTAACTTTTCTAATCAGCTGATCGTATATTTGTCTTTGTATGTATAATGGGCCCTCATCCATGATCTATTCCAAAATTAAGGTTCTCTTCATGTTTATAAATGTAATGTAATATATATATATATATATATATATATATTTCTGTTGTCATGGTGAACTAAAATATGTTTTCTTGTACTGTAATTTATTTTGAAATAAAAATTGCCTTCAAGTTAAATATATGGTATGTACGGTGCCATATTAAAAGAAAATAAGTATCCGCACTTGGGTACATTCATCTCAATGATTTTGTAATTCCAGAGCAGCGTTTTTTCAACTGGGGTGCCGCAAGAGAATGTTAGTTACATGACAATTTTTTTGGCAAACGTTGATTTTGTGAAAAACAAATATCAGAAACGGGTAGAGTATTTATTTTCATGAGAAAATAAAATGTAAACAAATAATAAAATGTCTTTTTTACTTGCTTACTGACAATATTTTGCGAATATATATCTTTTATCTCGACATCACATTGTTACCACATTCATCACAATTATAAACATGATGAATCAAGGCAACGAGAGGCCCGAATATCCTCATATTCGTGTATCAAGGTCATGACCGAATATTTCACTTTATATTCGTGTACATTCGGCGGTGAGGCGCCCGCATACCTTAAATCTGTGCTAGTGTGTTGATTACAACATTATGTTTTACCATTTTGAAAATGTCTTGTCCTTGTTTTTCTTGCTCGTTCACTAAATCAAGAAACAAATGTGCCCATACGTGTGTACATAGCACTTGACGAGTGCCAGAGTGATGCAAAATAAATAGTTTGTGAAGAATTTAAGATTGGGCGAAACTTTTCATTTCTTAAGAGGGCATCGTGTCGAACAAAAAGTTGAAATAACGCTGCACAAGAGAAATCCTTCGTAGAAAACAGTAACCACAGTGTTGTTGCATAGATTATAGTTAAAGAAAAATGTGTAGTAATGAGGAAGATCACGCGCAAGTATTTGAACGAATGTGGGTTCATGCACGGGATTTTATGGGCTCGTAGCCTTCACAGCATCTCTCAACGTGACAGATCGTCTTTTGCTATTGAATCCTGATTGTCCCCGGGGGGGGGGGTAATCATCCTTGGGGGGTAATTGTCCGCGGGGGGTAATTCTCCGCGGGGTCATTTTCCGGGGGGTAATTGTCCTTAGGGGGTTATTGTCCTCGGGGGTAATTCTCCGGGGGGTAATTCTCCGGGGGGTAATTGTCCTTGGGGTAGTTTTCCGGGGGGTAACTTTCCGGGGGGTGATTGCCCAGGGGGTAATTGTCCTAGAACCGTAATACAAAGTTTTGGGAAATGTTGACAATTGGGTGGATAGTGATTCTATACAATGTTGATATATTTGGATGCCCCTGTGGATGTATTTTAAGCACTAGAAAATTTAGCCCCTAAAACACTTCTGCTTTCGAGAAAAATTGAAAATAACATTTATCGGTGCTCCCGGTAATTTTGATAAATTTCAAATCGCGCCTACGGCCGTACAATGGTAGCTGCGACCATGCAAATCTCAGAATATGTAGATACGAAATATCATTTCCAAACGGGAATAGCTAATAGGTCGATTTTATTGAAGAAACATTGTTTCATAGCTTACTTAATATATTGACATTGAGAGGGAGCTATAGAATATAGAGTGTATTAATACAATTTCATAATTTTAGACTCGATTTCAACCGCAACAACGATCACCGAATATTGTAGAATCGCTTATGCTTCCAATATGTTCATTTGAACCTAATTCATGACCCCATACCAAAACTTTGTATTACCTTTAAGACTTGCATGCCTTGGATATCCTACAGGAGTGAACTACAGAGGGAACTTGTCTTAGACAATCAACAATCATACTTGTCAAGAATGGACCTCTCAGGATCCCCATCAACACACAGTAGTAGAATATCATTCCCACTTCACTCAAAATGGTCCATAGTCGTTTCTGAACACCTCCCGATTGGAACATGTCCGACAATTATCCGGAAAGTAAAAAAACAAATAGAATTTCTCGGAAAAGCTTAACAGGCTACAATTGCTATACATCTTGGGGCACATATCTTTTTCACATGTGCACTCATGACCACCTTTGATCCTACACTACTGTGATGCTTTCCTCCTACACCAATAATACAAACCCTGGGTTCCTTATTTTGATGACAGTTTCCGTAAATGTGGCTTACATTTAACTCTGCCAGTTAAACTGTTTTGGTAGGGTACCTTAAAAGGATGTAAAAACTAACTAATTGCATTGTCATTTAACTTGAAAGTAAAGTATATCGAATTCGCATGTGGTCCAGATATCCGAAAACATATCCCTAAACGAAAGGAGCTTTAAAAAATATGCTCCGAGTTAATTCTCTTCTCGCTTCTTCCTACTTGCTCTTATATCTTCTTCGTTGTTAATGTTATTGTTGCTGTTGTTGTTGTTTGTTTATTGTGTATTTTACACTATTTTTTTTATTGTTCATCATTAATATATACATTTCGTTGTTAACAAAATTTTACCTCATCGCCATCGTTCATCTTTCCGTCCCTCACAGTTCCCAGTCATTATTGTAATCTTTGTTCTCAATAGTCTCCACTCTTATCCCTACAGCAACGACCGAACCCACGACAAACCCAACAACACCGACACATGTACAGTCGGAAACTCAGACATCTCAACCCACTGTTGGTAAAAAAAAATTGTTTCATTGTTTTTGTTGTTTTTGTTGTTGTAGTTGTTCTTTTCCTTGTTCTTGATCTTCTTGGGATTTTTTCGTATAGGGGCAGAGCTATGAGCAAGTATGTAGTACTTTAGATGACAATCGTGCTCTTATTTTCACGTTTATGTATTTGTCGGTTACACCATGTTGCCTGTAGAAACTCGAAGACGAGATGAATTCAATAGCTATTTAACCTCAAAGACTAAATTAATAAAAATACAAATATGTATTGTTTACTACCAAGGCAATGGATTAGGCATTTCGTTTTCTTTTAAATAAAGATAGCGATCGAAGAGATAAAAGCAACAAACGATACCAGCAGTTAAAGCATATATGCAAATACAAGTCATGTACGTAGATGAGAATAAAAGAGGGAGGGTGATTATGATCAAATTAATAATGGATGAGGCAACAGAGGCCAAAAACTTGCTAAATGCTATCCTTGTTTATGGATGAAACATCCATCTGAACCAATGAACGGGGAATATTAAAAAAAAAGAGATACATTGTGAATATTTTCACCAGTATAGGATAATTGACAAGTAAGGCAATTGCCAGTAGACCTAGACTGTTAATGATACAGATATCACTCGAAGACACCATTTATACAAGAGGTGTCAGAGTCAGAGGTATGGTGCTTTAGTGGTTTCAACATTTTGGTAGTTGATGTATAGCATGGGTGTCGATCCCGGGGGGGGGGGGGATGGGGGGATATATCCCCCCCCCCCCAATAATTCAGGTGGGGGGAGGATGGCCTGTACAATCATCCCCCTCCCAATAATTCACCCTAAAAAAAAATTAAGAGAAATATTAATGATGAGAGCCCGATGAGAGTAGTTAATGATTATTACTCGTAAGATGACTATCAATATACACATTTTGCTATCTCATTTTCATAATACATACATATACAGTATACGAAGTAAATGAGACAACCGTATATGAGACAAGAATAAATTGAATTCTCGCTCATACGGCTTCATCAGGAATTGATGAATTTATTCAATTTGTTCAATGAACAGCATCATAGAGATGCAATGCGCCAAATGCAAAGACGCAGCGTTAAAAAGCAAGGAGCTAAATGTTAAGCGCGAAGCGCAAGAGTAGCAATCTGCAATGCACATCAGACAATCCTGGACAGTGTAAACATAGATGAACTCTGTGACGAATTCGTGATGAGATCGGAGACAAGTAGAAAGATTTTCGGACATTAGTATGACTTATAAGATAGTTCACTAGTTGTTATGTTGTTTCCGTTCATCCTTTTTAAAATTCACGTCATTGTATCTTTATTTTATTCCCTGATATTTCCTAAAACATTTTTCATTTTTGAAGTAAGATTATTATGTCACAATTTATTTTTGTTTTATTGAAAAGCTGATGTAGACCTATGTCACTCGCAAACTGTTAGCAGGGCCTGGGGCGCTAGCCCCCCCCCCCCCCCCCCAAAAAAAAAAAAAAAAAAAAAAAAAAAAAAATCCAACTATAACTTTTTTTCAATTTTATACAAGTGATTTAAAAATCTTCGTGATATCACATGATTTTCAACAAAATTCGCGTTTCTTTATTTCTGTTGCAAACTGACACATTCCCAAAAAGCCACGAAGAGCATATATTTTGTATAGTCATTAATATGCCTAATTAGTGGCCGTTAACACTAACAGTAGTATACAATTCCTTTCCAGAAGCTATTGCGACAAGCACTACGGGGAGATAACATACTACCCACCACTCGGGCTTTGCATGCAGAGATTTGCGAACGAACGTTCCATACGTACATCATGTGGGGAATATGAATTCAGACAAGGATTCATATAGAGAACAGTACAACGAATCGTCTTCTTTCTCTAATAATTGAGTGAAACGTCAAAGCTTCCGCGCTTCGCGCGGGAGGGGGGAAACTGAATTCAGACAAGGATTAAGAGTCAAGAATGGAAATCGAATCGTCTTCTTTCTTTAATAATCTAATGAAACGTCAGAGCTTCCGCGCTACGCGCGGAGGAAAGGGAACTTGATTCAAACATTTAGGATTAAAAGTCGAGAATAGTACATCGAATCGTCTTCTTTCTTTAATAAGCAAATGAAACGTCAGAGCTTCCGCGCTACGCGCGGAGGAAGGGGAACTTGATTCAAACAAGGTTTAAGAGTTGAGAATGGTACATCGAATCGTCTTCTTTCTTTAATAATCTACTGAAACGTCAGAGCTTCCGCGCTATGCGCGGAGGAAAGGGAACTTGATTCAAACGTTAAGGATTAAGAGTCGAAAATAGTACATGAAATCGCATTCTTTCTTTAATAATCTAATTAAACGTCAGAGCTTCCGCGCTACGCGCGGAGGAAGGGGAACTTGATTCAAACAAGGATTAAGAGTCGAGAACGGTACATCGAATCATCTTCTTTCTTTAATAATCTACTGGCTACGCGCTTGGGGAGGGGTGCAACCTGCCGCACGCTTCTACCTCTTGGTTGCTTTGATCCATTGCCAACAATATTTTGGCACCTATCATCCCCCCCCCCCAACCACGGATACAAATCGACACCCTTGATGTATAGGTTTGAGATTCGAGTCTCAGTCTTGCACGGATATACAGGTAGTGTAATTCTGGTTCATATTTTGACACAGGAATTTTTGTAAAGATGGGAGCAGTGGATGCTAACAGGGAATAAGTTGAAGGTTTTTAAAGTTGTTGCTTTTGCTTTTTCATGCAAAATAGTAATTGTGTCACTTTTTTAATTAATAATGTGTAAATTTATTTCCAGACACCGATATTTTTTTGCACTGGAAACATTTTTTGTTCAAAGAAATGTCTTCATAATTTGTAGACATACAATTTAAATACCAATGAGTGATGTCCAGTAATTTTATTGCGTTAAAAGACCTTGCAGCTCCTGCTAATATGTATTATTTTTTAGATACTTGACGTTTGTAAGAACAAATGAATCTATTTCATTTAATCAAGTTTCTTTCTTTGAAAATAAGGTCCTATCCAGGATGCTAGCCCTCTAGGATTGGAAAGTAGGGCAATCCCAGATTCAAGCTTGACAGCTTCTAGTGAGTACGACGCCAACCACGGTCCGCGTCGAGGACGGTTAAACATAGCTAAAACCGGAGCCCTGTTCGGAGGATGGACTGCCAAAACCAAAGATTTAAACCAGTGGATTCAGGTCAGTGTCTATTCCTTAATTTCTTTCGTGTTTGTCTGAAGTCTTCCTCCATAAAGCTTCTCAAGCTCATAAAGGGTATCTCTCAGTCACAACACGAAACCTGTCTTACCTTGTTACTTGAACAACCAAGAGATCACACGAACAAAGATTCCGTCAAATATTAATTCCTTCTGAAAATACTGACAGACTTGAAATCTGTTCAACTATCTATATCTAACATTCAATCCCGACGTATTCAGGGCTCAAGATCTACAGCATTTTCAATTAAGTATTTTATGCACACACCCAGTCCGAGCGCTGACCCGTATGACTACAGGTACATATTCACAAATAGACATAAATACTTCAGATCAAGCATGCTAGAATAAGCTATCCTGCAATCGAACCTCGTAACCAATCACGTAACTTTCATTTAATTGAAGAACTTTCTTTAGAAAATGGACACAGTTTTAATTAAATAAACCAAAAATATCTAAATACGCCGACCCCCCCCCCCACTCCCCTACAGAAAAACAAGAAGCCGATAGAATAAAATGAGGCACTTTCCAAATTGTTGCTAACTATTAACTATTGCTAAATATTTTCTTGAGGAGGTAACTCATGAAGGGTTTCATATAGATGTCCTGTTAATACAAAAAAAATGATATATATATATATATATATATACATGTAAATCAAGATAAAAAATATCTTCAACGTCATTATCATTCAAATCTCAGGTTGATCTTTTAGATACGTACAGCATCGTAGGAGTGGCAACGCAAGGTCGTAAGGACCAATTCCAGTGGGTATCCAGCTTCAAGATTGCCTGCAGTATGAATAGTATTACCTTTGATACAGTGAAAGACCCGAATAACACCGACAACGACAACGTACGTACCGATTTACTCATCCTTCGACCATAATCAGTTAACACGTGTGATTCGCTTATTGAGCGTTTCTCAATTCCTTTTTTTCATGATGTTAATCAAAGCATTTATCTCTCTCTTTGAAATTACACTTTATTCTATTCTCAATTGATTGATCTTGCATGTTTTACTCAGATCTTTGCCGGCAATAGTGACAAAAACACCGTGGTTTACAATCGCTTTCCCGTGCCAATGGTGTGCCGATATGTTCGCCTTTTACCTTACACCTGGCAGCAACGTATTTCTCTTCGTATGGAGCTCTTTGGGAGACGCCTTGGTGAGTTTCAGGTTTAAACTGAGTCGTCTTCATTCGAACAAGGAATGTGATGTAGTGTATATATATTAGATGAGCTAGTTTATCAGGGTAACCGTCCCGGGCTCTTGCCTGCAGACACGCCCCGGAAATATTCGGGGGGGGGGGGGTGGAGTCACGGTTAGCAGAGTAAAGACTATAACTGCTCAGGTTATGAAAGGCTTTAGAATGTAAATCATTATTAACTTTTTTCATTAAATTATTTGAAATATTAACTAATGTATGGGGATAAAAATCCCAGAACAGTGAAACTTGAAAAAGTGAAAAATATGGAAAAAAACTGAAGAAAAAAAAAAGTCAACTTTTCATGAGAGCTACAGTCATCCCAGTAAAATTAAGCATAACATTTTAGCCAGAGAAAGACATGCTGCCCTGCAATTTTCTATTTGATTGTTTACGAAATGTCCTCGAAATTTGCTGATATACAAATAAAATGCCAATGAGTGAGGTCCAGTAGCTTTATTGATTTGGAAGACTATGCAGCTCCGGCCAATATGTATTATTTGTACGAACATGAATTTTGTTAGGATGGATGAATCCATTTCATTTAAGCTAAAGTTTTATTCTTTGAAAAAAGGTCCTTTCCAGGATGCTAGCCCTCTGGGATTAGAAAGTGGGGCAATCCCAGATTCGAGCTTGACAGCTTCTAGTGAGTACAACGCCAACCACGGTACGCGTCGAGGACGGTTAAACATAGCTAAAGTCGGAGCCCTGTTCGGAGGATGGACTTCCAAAACAAATGATTTGAATCAGTGGTTTCAGGTCAGACTATATTCCTGATTTTGTTCTTGTTTGTTTGAAGTATCACACCAAAAAACCTTCTCAAGCTCATTAACCCTAATAAGGCCGGGGGTGGGGGGGGGCGCCATTTCCCCCCTCCACAATTTTTCTGATTGCTCGGGAACGCATATGGATGGCGCCCCGCCGCTCGCTGACTTTTTTCTTTCGAATCTTCCGCAACTTTGAAAAGATTTTTTTTGAAAATCGGACCTACGGTTACAAGGTCACGTGACCTTTTGTCTTTGCATGTCAGCCCTAAAATCGCTCATTTTCGTGATTGGTGTACAAAACATACGGAAAAGTCATTTTTCCTAAAAACAGATCAAACATGGGTTATTAGGTCTTGTTTAAAGTTTAGGTGGTTGTTTTGGGAGTCAAAATAGTTGAATTGTAGTAAGAAATTAAAAAAAAACAAAAAACAATGAAATACAGAAGGAATTATAAAAACAAAAAATAACATGAGGAATAAACTGGCTCTTCCATTTTTTTTTTGTCGTATTATTATTCAGAATGGTCTAATGAATATATATAGTGAAAAAGAATGCTTAGATATGAATAATATATGATTTATGGGTAAACATTTGATTTTTATGACTTTATTTGCATAAATTACCATAAATATGTAAATGAGTAAATTTTTCAAAAAATTGAATTTATCATATTAGATAGATAGATAAATGGTTTATTCAAATCAAATCAAACATGTAAACAATAAATGTTCATTAATTCCATGCTTCGTAGCTAAAAACTAAATTGCGCAATGGATTACAGAATTAAGTATTACAAGGTAAAATTGCATTTACTAATAATAAACTACTATAGATAATAATGCAACTCTTGGCACCGGCGTCGAACCGCTGCGCCACCCCAGTCACCAGTGGGGCACGAAACAGTAAGATCATATACCCCCTGATGAATAGCACGACGCAACGCATCAACACCCATGCATACAATATACAGCACAATTCACAGTGAAATAATGAATACAAAAGGACAGGTATGGCGGAGGAGAAAAAGAAAGGGGGAGGGAGTATAAGAAAATGATAACTTTTACATGATTAAAACATTACATACTTAACAAGAAATACATGCGTAATACTGTACATGGCAATTAACTGGTTTAGAACATTTCAACTCTGAAAATAGTAGTATTGCATGTGGAAAATTACAAAAATATAAATCTATGTTTAGCATTAATCGTTCAATTTTCTATGAAATCACATTTTTTGTGAATGAATAAATACTATAGGTCATGCTTTAAATATGGTACATGTAATATAATGCTCGAGTGATTTATCCAGTTAATTAGTAAAGGGTAAAAAAAACATGATCCAGTTTAGCTAAGGTGGATTAAATCTATTTAAAAAGGCTGGGATGTAATAAACAAGATCCTAAAACATAACCATGTTGGCAGGCGCAGGCACGGTAGGTTATCTATTGAAGTGAGGGGATGAACAAAGAAAACAACAACAGACATCCTCCTCACTAACAATAGACCACTCCTCCGCGTCTACGCCCGAAGGTTTCATGCATTGGAAATAAGCAATAGTAATAATCCCAAACTATATGTTTTAAAAACATTATTTTAATTTCAAAGTGAGTAATTAAAAACATGCAAATATCATTTAAAATCAGTCATACTAAAGTCTGTTTGCCCCTTCTATTAAAGTTTATACAAAGTTCAATTAAAGTTCATTAATTTTGTCATGAATGGAATAGGGCTGTTTTGGTATCGATTTGTACGACACCTAGGCTCACGATAACGTTTATTTTTTCTCAAATTTCTTGTTGGATTGTTTTCGGTGAACCAGTCACTACCAACTTCAGACCTAGATGCTTTCGTTGCAAAGTTAATGCACAAAGTCTTTCTAGTTATTCTATACACTTCACTTGACATACGTGCAAATTTTCCCAGCGATCGGCCGCTTCGCGGCCGAGATCTTAAGGGAGGGGGGCCATAATGGCCCCCCGGCCGTACTAAGACCTCAAATAGCTTGGCCTTTTGAGGGTTAAGGGGATCTCTCCGTCACAAGACGAGACCTGTCTCACTCTGTTACTCGCTCAACCAGGAGATCACACGAACAAAGATTCCGTCGAATATTACTTCCTTCCGAAAACACTGACAGATTGGAAATATTTTCAACTATCTATATCTAACATTCAAACCCGACGTATTCAGGGCTCATGATCTACACACAGAGAAGAAAAAAATGGTTTAAATTTACTCCCTATAGGGAGTAAATGCTTTTTGTATAAGTAAAACCCCTCAGGGAGTGAATTTACACCCCACAAGATTCGATCATATAGGGTATAAAATTCAACCCCACGGGTGTAAATTTGAACCCATTTTTCATGAAAATGGAACCAAAAGGTCTTAAATACCATTTTGTGCAAATTTCACTCCTTAAAAGGAGTAAAATAAAAACCTTGGGGTGCAACTTTACACCCGTGGGGTTGAATTTTATACCCTTTATGATCGATTCCACACCCTGTGGGGAGTGAATGTACACCCTTCTTATGCACAGCATCAACCAATTGATCATTCCTCGAGCATTTAATCAGACATGCTTCGTAATCACCTGACAGTCACTGATTCTCACCATTTTGTCTATGTTTCACTGCTCTAAAGAAATCAGATTAGAATCTCGGATTATATGTCGAAAAGCTTTAATGCTTACCTAAACAGTTAGTGTGAACTCAACACAAATGCAGACTGCAAGAACCAACTATAAAGTTAGCCTCGGTTTGGCTGGCCTGGATGGATGTATCGTATCACTTGTTGTGGAACTACCTAAGTACACAATCCTGCCTTCCACCACATATTCCCTTTACTCACACGTATATGAAGGCAAATATATACTAGTTAGTAAACCGACACTTCTGCTAATTTCATTAAATTTCCAAATATAACCTTATGTACAACCCCTTATTCTTGATCAGATAACTTTCAGACAAATAATAGGCCCAAATGAAACATGATAATTCCCCCAACATGACTAAACTATGTAAATTATGCTAATTCTTCTTCATTTGGCAGTACCTATATCGACACAATGCGCCATTGCTGTAGTGCATGCTCATATGCACCCACAACAGAAAAACGCTTTGACCAATCAGAGCTCGTCCGACTAAAATGGGGTGTAAAATGCACCCGTCAAATGACTATTCCGGACACCCTTGCGTATTTCCGTGTTTTACTCACTGACCTCTACGCCTGGACATTTCATTGGCTCACAGAAATGACTGCGTGGGTCCGCCATGTTGCACTTCCGAAAAATCGACTTGCAAGAGAGTTGGAATACAGATTTGTGTACAACTCTACTGCAGGTTCTGTTTCTGAACTTTGTTTTGAGGAATGTAATCGTTGAAAATGCCTACATGTGCTGCAATTAATTGCTCAAACCAGTATTATAAAGAATATTGACGGACATTACATTCGAAAGTTCAACTATGTTTTCTATGTATTATAAAAGCAGGTTGGAAGTTCGAAGTAGTTAGCGTCTAAAGCGCTCTCTGTAGTCCCATGTGTTGTATTTCATGTACGTATTACGTATGGCATAATGTCACTGGAAATGCAATTCAATCTGATTGTGATCATTTCAATTGCTGTTAATCTATACTAGATCTAGAGCAATGCAATGCCATGCTATGTAATATTTTGGAGTAGATTTTGACTAGACTAAGTAGATTCAATTTCTAACGTTTAGTCTACTAGTCATAATTAATATTATCTTGTTAATTGTTACCTGAAATTGACAGTCACGCAACGTCTTAAACTAAAGATAACAACGAGTGTCTGACTTGAAAAGGGTATTATTTGTATATTTATCATAGATTTACCCCCATTTAATCTAATGCTAATTACAGCGTGAGTGACTCTATTGAAGTTTATGAATACAAATACAACTAGACATATAATACTTGTTTGGAACAAGTATAGGTGGGCTGCCATCTAAAATTTGAGACCAAATTGAGCAAAAATAAGCGACATACTGCTTAAATATTCTTAAAAAACAATATCATGTTGATTCATAACGTGAACTAAATTCACCTTCTATAGGCACAACACGCAAATTATGAAATTTTTAACATGAGGCCTTTAATCGAAATTTTCACTATGATGACGTCATCAAAATGAAAAATGGTGATAACTGAGCTTGTAGAGAATTGTCCTAGCTACAACATATCGAAATTTGGAAGAAAATCGATCAATATATACAGAGATACAATCAATTTTCCATAAATATGCTGACTTCATAATATGCAAATTCATATTTTTAGTTCCAAGGCAATTATAATGATGTCACGATACACCTAATGGCCAAATGAGACATAAAATCATATTTACGACTCATACTCTATCCAAATATGAAAAAGAAATTGGGGTCTAGGTGCATTCCAAAGAGCTATAATGGATTATGTATAGGTATGTTTTTGCCCATATATGCTATGTATTACATAGGCTCGCGCGCACGGAACTTTATGTTAAACGGACGCTCATTCCGTTTTTAATAGCAAAAAAGAGATAAACATGGAATCAATCTGTTTGTAAAAAAATGTGGAATATCATGAAAGAAAAAAAATGGCGATTTTATGTTGTGTAATAGTTTTACGCGCGAAAACGCGCACGCATGCGCCCGGCGCGATTTTTTATAAAATGCTTAAAATGGCCTAAAACGTATGCAAAATAATTTTGAGACTTTTTTGAGCATTTTGAAATTTTGCGCGCGCACTGACGCGCGAACGTACGCGCACGCGCGCGTTTTTTGACCCGAAATTGACCGGACTGATATTGACCTTAATCATGATAAATATGAATGAGAAATGACTTACCGTTATGAAAATATGATCATGAGTAAATTTTCAGAAAATTTCACAAAATGGCGCCTAGATGACGTCATCAGTCAAGGTCAAAGTTGAAAACCTTACCGTGTTTTCTCCATATGCCTATACATATGTGTGTCAAATTTCAAGTTATTTTA